CATGTTTGTTTCTTGGCTGAGGAGGAAGAAATAGAAAGGGAGAAGCTGAAGATAAGAGTTGTTTCCCAGGCTCAGAAATTGGGTAGAACTCTTCGGGCTATTCGGGAAAACCTAATCAGAATTAAACTTGTAGCCAGTTTGTCAGGAGAGCTCACATGCACAATAGCTAAATCCATCTGAATAAAAACTACAGCATGTCTTCCATAGTTTAAGTCAAAGAAGTAATAGCTTAGTAGCTAATTACAGGATTAAATAAAAAATAAATATAGTGGGTCAGGATAACTGTATTTTTAATTGAATTTTGTTGCCAACCAAAGGATGCTTCTTTTCTCCAGGATGAGCATAAATCAATCTAAACCAAAATTGTATTTTTCTGCAGAGATTATGCTACAAACTGGTAGAAAAGTCAATTGTCAGTTTACACTACTCACCAGGAGAGCAGCAGGACTTTTTTTACCTGAATAGTGGTGAAAGTGCAGGTTCCTTGTGAATATACCAATTAAGTCACCACGAGTCCTATATACCAATAAGGGGAGGGGTCCATTAGCCCATCTGATAGCATGCAGGCAAATTCCTATCAAGGACCCATTTTCATGTTAGTTAAAAAAAAATTGTGGTGAAGTTGATAATTCTAATGCTTTTAAACTTCCTTTCAAGAACATATTTCTCTTGGCTGGAATAACCTAAAGAGATATTTTAATAAATTAGTTTTAATGGAATGAAGAATTATGAACCAAATAAAGATAGAGTTGTCTCTGGGGAATAGATAACAATTTAGAGAAACTTTTTTTTGTGTGTGAGGAAGATCAGCCCTGAGCTAACATCCGATGCCAATCTTTTTTTTTTTTTTTTTTCTGAGGAAGATTGGCCCTGAGCTAACATCCATGCCCATCTTCCTCTACTTTATATGGGACGCCGCCACAGCATGGCTTGACAAGCATTGCGTCTGTGCGTGCCTGGGATCCGAACCTGCGCACCCTGGGCCGCCGAAGCAGAGCACACGCACTTAACCACTGCGCCACTGGGCTGGCCCTAGAGAAACTTTTGAATAAAATAAAATGCTAATTTAAAATGAGTTGAGAAGAACGTGAATACATGAGAGATGACTGATTTTAATTGGCTGTAGAATGCTGTGGCTGGTCTCTTGTAAAAGTAAAACGTAAGTCTTAAAACATTCAAACAAAACAAAAATTCAAAAGTGTATTTAAAGGCTTGAACACTTAGGCCTGTGCCAGTGAAAGGGGTGTTTGTAGCAAGCTAATAAAACCAAGAAATTTTTGATCTAGGTTATTCCTTCCTCCATCTGTTCATTAAGTCAACAAATATTTCCTGAGTGCCTGGTAAAGGACATCAAATCTTTGGCAATCCACAGAGCACTTGTTAATCTGTTCATACATGTCCACGCGTGCTTGGACTCTCCCGAGAGGCCTAGCTCAGTGGTTTCCACCTGATCCCTGTGAGGCTCACACTCCTCCTTGTTGCTGCCTCCTGCTGGCCTCCTGGTCCCTTCCCTTCATTCACTGAATACTTGGGCACCTGATTTAGTTTTCCTCTCCAATACAACTTCTGCTATCTTCCTGGATGTTAATATCCACCTGTCCAACCCACTTGTGCTTTCAGGTTTCTTGATCTTGTTTTGTCTTTAATGATCTTCTTGACTTCACTTAGCCACTGCAAGGTCGCATCTTAGATCATACTACACCATGAACTGCTCCTCTCAGATCACTAGTCTAATCATCCTAGTGTCAGATGAGCATTTCTGTCCTTCCAAACGTGCTTGTTCAACAACTCCCAACAGATCAGAGCTGTCATCAGACTGTCCATCAGGCTCTCTACTATCTTCCCCCTGCTTTTGTTGCCCTCACGTCCTTACCTATCCAGTTTAGATACCATAGGACCATTATTTCAACAACTCAGTTATTTCAACAATTACCCAATTATCGTCCTTTTGTTCTATCAGACTCATCTGGCAAAACCCCAAGTCTGTCTATTTTCTCTGTGTGTACCCAGGCATCACGGTGCTACTAGGGAGGGGAACAAAAAAATCACGAGAGGCACATTTTCACTGAGTTCTCAATCACCTAATAGTTGGTTCATCCACACCGCTCTACAGTCCTACTACACCTCTGGTCACCTTATTCTCCACAATAATCATTTTAAAACCTCCATTTTCAAAACTCCAGTCCCCTCTGGTCTCTGCCTTCACAGAGAAAACCAAAGTCTGCATATGCACCTATCCTCCTCTTCTTCTGGAATAAAAGCACCCCTCCCATCTAAAAGCCAAACCCTTCACCAGTGCTCTGGACCCCATCCTCCTCCACCTGCTTGGAAACCCAGCACCGTCGCTGATCCCTTTTGGCCTATCTTCAACTTCCCCCTCTTCCCTGGTCTTTGTCACAGGTTATGCTGTGGCTAAAAAGGGAAACGAAGACACATTACTGCCTTATTCTCTCCTCCTCTTCACACTGAAAGTTCAGAGTTGTGTCAGGTAGCTTCTTTCTGACATCTGCCTCCTCCACTCCCCGGAAGGGAATGTCTCTAAGCCACCCATTATTTCAGGAGGTTAAACCCAAGAGATGCTTTTAATTCCTCACCCTACTTGATCTCTCAGCAGCATTCAACACCTGTGCAGAAAAACTCCCTTCCTCTGGCTTTCATGACTCCGCTCCTCCTGGCTTTCCTCTCTTTAGCTATCGCTATCGGTCTCCTTCGCCTGCTCCTCTTCTGCCACTTACCTTTGGAGCGTTCCTATGGGTTTGCCCCAGGTCCTCTTTTCTTTTTCCTCTATAGCAGAGATTGGCAGTTTTTTCTTTCAAGTGCCATACAGTAAATTATTTGAGGCTTTGCAGGCCATAAGGTCTGTGTTGCAGCTAGTCAACTCTGCCATTGTAGCATGAAAGCAGCCATAGACAATAAGTAAACTAACAGGTGTGGCTGTGTTCCAGTAAGACTTTATTTATAAAAACAGGTGGTGGGTGGATGTGGCCTATGGCCTGTGGTTTGCCAGGCCATACTCTACACTCTCCCTAGAGAAGTATCCTCCCCTGTCTCCAATGACCATCCAACTATACATCAAATTCATACCTTGAGACCCTTCTGTCCCCAAATCTGTGTATCCAACTAAAATCCACATTCAAACATCTCAAATCTTAGCATAGGAACTGTGCTCTCTCCCCGCAAATCTGGTCTCCCTCCAGTATTCTCTGTAAGAGGCACTGCCATTCATACAGCTGCACAAGGCAGAGAATAAGAGTCACCTAGAAAATGTAAGTCTGGAAATGCCATTATTTGAAGCACGCAGTCAAATTTAACATTTCACTAATAGAGCTAAACTTTATTTCCACGTTTATTACATGTTCATCTTTGATGTTGAATACATATTAGAACTGATTTAACATACAACTCGGGAGAAAAGCTGACATTCTCTACCGAATGGGTTAAAAAGGAATGTAAAGCTAAAAAATACTTGCTTTAGTGTTTAAGTGAATTCTAATTATGGCAAACAGAACAATACCTTGCCATTTTTCTCTTTCTAGTTTTCCAAGATGTATTTCACTATAAAATTTTTTTCATAACAGTTTACTTCAAGAAAGGAAATAAGGGATAATCATTAAAACCATTTTACTTTAAGTGTAGAGTCCAAATAAAGAGTCTTAACACAGAACTCCTATCTCCTATTTAAAATACAAATACTTCATGGTATGATGAATTGAGGGGGATTAATTTGATATCAACTGCAGATCTAATGACTTAAGCAAACCATACATGCCATTTGCTTTTTTCTGGACGAGTGAGGCTGATTTAAGGGTGACACACAGCAGAGTTCTATTTGATATCTAGGTTAACCATCTGCTACTCAGAATGGGGACAGCCAAATACTAAGTGCTTAGTGATGGAAATTCAGGATTAATCAGTTCCAAGTGACTAACAGCTAACAGAATTAATCATTCCACCCCCCCAATCTATGGCCATGTACAAATCTTAGTACTCACTGAAAGTTTTAAAATAAAACACTAGATACTCTGAAACTTCTGAAATTCACGGTACACAAAGAATATTGTCTGTAGTATAATTCCAATGCTTAAACAAAATCAAAATTATAGATGGTTATCAAAGTTGTTATGGGTAATAAATATAGTTTCGTTTAATTCGCTATAAGCCTCTTAAGCATGTTTTGTGAAGAAAAAGGTGTGTTCTTAACACTACTAATTTATGCTTAGATATATTAAAAAAAATCAGCTTAAAATTATTTTTCACCAGGGATTACATGACGAAAACTCTTAATAAAAGTGAATAATGCTTATTGTTCTCATTAAACAAGTGTTTAGAATAAGCTGCAAAAACCTATTCTTTTTAATGCTGCTTATAAAAGATGTTTAAGACAGATAACTCACCACTAATTAATTATTCTACTGATAAAATACTTTTCATGTAACTGTTTAGGACAGATAATTTACAGCTTTTCAATTTTTAAAATCTCACATTTACTGTCATGTTGTTAAAGCTTTTCTAAATCAGTTTTCCAGTATCAGATTCTCAAATGGGAAAAGAAAGGACAAAAGAGAAACAAATTCCATATCATTTAGCCTTCTCCCTTCCCTGGAAATCAACATCTCTCTTAAAATTCAAGGCACACTCCTTTTCTGAGAATAGGGGTCGACAAACTTTTTTTGTAAAGGATCAGATGATAAACATTTCAGGCTTTGTGGACCACACGGTCACTAATGCAACTACTCAATTTCCGCTGCTGTTGTGAGAAAGCAGCCACAGACAATATGTATTCACACAAAACCAGAGCAGGCTGAATCTGGCCTGTGGGCCATTGCATAGCAGGCCAACCTGCCTTACAAGAACTGACCTAAACACAGCAGAATCATCCAAAAAAAAAAAAACCAAACTGATCTCTAGTGAGGTGTGATGACTGACTCAGAATCTAGCAGTTAATCACTCTAGAACATTTTGATGTTAAACACTTTGAATTTACCCAATTTTCTGCTTTGGGTTAAGATTCTTCTATTCAAACTCATGTCATCATGCTTTTCATTGGGGATAATTTATCTTCGTTTAAGAACTTGCTTAAGTATTATTTATTGAGGGATTGAGTTTAAAAATCAATAAATGATGCCCATACAATTTAATATCCAATTTAATTTTTAAAAAACTTAATGAAAAATATAACAGAATCAAAACATTTAAAATAAGTACACTCACTACCCATTCCAGTAATTCATTTAAGTCATATCAACTATAGAATAGGAAAAATAAATTCAGAAGTGTAATTATTTTAAAATACACTGCTTCCACTTTTGTCAATATTTTACATTTATGCCTATATTCTATAGCGGAAGCAGAAATTCTCTCTAAAAACATTATCTCCTTAAAATCTTGAGGTGCATATTAGAGCCACAGGCAATATCTGACATATAAAACTGCAGTACAGGCCTTTCAAATTCGGCATTTCACTGGGACAATGCAATGACCCACGTATATAATCACTGTACAGTACCTGGACGTTCCAGTAAGAACCATTATTTTCTTTAATGTAGAATGATTAATACATATTCTACAAGGGGCAGTGAGGTTAGTAATTCTATAAGGTATGTCCCAACATAATTTTCAAATTGTACAATAACACAAACAACTTTGTTAAGGCCATGTTTTATTTGCTGATTAATGGACAAAAGGCAATGTAATTTATTTTCAAGTATTTTCTTGAAAGTCTGTGCTCATAAAAATCATGAAAAGTTGGAAAGACTGTTAAATCACTGAAACTTTAAATATATCTTACACAATCTTGTTTGTACAAAAATACAAGTTAAATATAAACATAAAGCAATCATGATAATTTTATGCAAATCTGTTTTATGTGATCTTCAGTTATATATAAAAGTTTCTCGGTTCTGTTATTTGTGAAAAGATCAATACCAGATTGAATTACTATCTACTGGCAAAGGGCCCTAAAAAGCTTCCTTTAGCATTAATCTTTTACATGGCTAAGTGCATTTCCTAATTTCAGATCACCTAAACATTGGAAAAAAAAAGAAAAAAATGAAAGGGCAGTATGTCCATAAACCAACAAATAATTTGGCTGTAATGTATCATAAAACACAAACCCCCACACATCTGTACAATAAACATTATGTATTACATACACACAGGTGTATACGTGCATGCATGCGCATAACACACATGCACGCAGACAGACACACACGCACACCCAGTCATAAAACAAAGCCTAATGAGGTGCTGCTTCCAGTTCGATATCCAGCATTGCATTTTTTCTCACTTCATCGAAGGAATAGTTTTTTGTCACCTTTCCATTCTTGAAGACAGTATGGAGAAGATCCTGCACAAATAAACAATACTAAAATTGAATGATTATATCAGACTATCAAGCAAAATACTTAAATAATGCTTTGATGAGTTAGACTAGTCAAATACACAGAGATATTGATGGTGTTCAAATTATAAAATGATTTTATACACAAAGAATGCTGGTGGAGCAAAGGCAGAGAGCAAGGCGCTATCTAAAATGGCTGTGTAGACATATTTAACTTTTATGAAAAGGAATGATCTAAATGTCACATTCTTCCTTAAAGGAAAAACAAAAAAACCTAGGTGACCCATCTCTTTTTGTTCAGGTGGAAGATGCTTGCTGCCTGGTTGCCCACAAGAACTATGGCTGTTGCTGATACTCATGACTGACAGCACAGCAAGGGAAGCCTGCCAGACCTTCCCTTGTTCTAGTCAACAGACTCAACACCCAGGCAACTTATCAACCTGGAATTTAATAAATTTACTAGTCACTGAGTTTTGGGTTTAAAACAAACGAAAAAAACGCTAAAAAACAAAAAACCAAACCTAAAACGGAAACCAAAATAAGCATTGATTTCAAGACTCTCTGTATATATTCGCAAGTCAATGATACAAGTAATCCATTTGATCCACATAAGGGTAACAAAGATAAATGAAGAGAATTAGGACTAAATTCCCTTTTGGATCTGATAAAGCCCACTCCTGTCTCACTAAGGAATTATCTGCCTCTAGTTTCTGTTTCTCTTTGACAAATCCATATAAGTGATCTATTGTGCCTGTTTTCCATCTAGTCTGAAGACTGAGGTGCCTATGACACTATTATTTTTGTCACTATGTTGTTTCAAATCACATTGCTCTAGCTATAGCATTTTCTTTCATAAAGTTAAATATAATCTATTAAGGAATGGTGGTTCCTATTCTTAAATTCACATACTCTTAAAATCAATGCCTTTTTAAAGTCACAGTTATGACCATGTCTAAAGTGACCTTAGTCCATCTGGGATAAACTAATTCAGCAAAGACTTCGTAGCTAGACGAGTTAAGTGAAGGCTACTCAAAGAACTGCATAACAGGCTATACAAAAGGATCTAAAACTTTGTTTAAGAACTTATATATTTTCATTAAAGATAACATAAAAATGTTATTTCATTAATTCTGGCTCAGAATCTTAACGAATATAATAAAAGTAAACAGAATATTTGATATGGTATAAAGAATCTAAAGTAATAAACTAGCATGTTTAGTGTAAACTATCCTCTGAGAATATGAATATTCATGAGTAATTTCCCTCTAAAAATGAGTAGTTTTTTCCAATCCAGTGGCTTAAAAAGCAGAAATTGTATAACTTGTGTTCATGAATATAAATGTACTTTTTGTATGTTAAAAACCATTAGACCATATGGACTACTTTAGCATACAGTCATGTGCCACATAATTTTAGTCAGTGATGGACCGCATCTACGACAGTGGTCTCATAAGATTAGTACCATATGGCGTAGGTGTGTGGTACTCTATACCATTGAGGGTTGTGTAAGCACACTCTATGATGTTTGCAAAAATGACCCACTGCCTAATGACGCATCTCAGAATGTGTCCCTGTTGTTAAATGATGCAGGACTGTGCTATAAATTTTTCCAGTTTGACTTGAATCAGAAAAGTTGGTTAAGTTTAGGTTTCACCATTTATTAGTTATGTAATCTGAATCAAGTCATGTCATTTCCATATCTTACACCTCTAAGAGAACATAATTTGCTTTTTTATTAGCCTATAGAGTTGTGAGAATCAAACGAGACTAAAGAAAACTATCTGAACTGAATTCTATTAAGTTTTAAAAAAACAGAATTATCTTTAACAACATTTTAGAATTTGGATAGCCCTTCTTTTATCTATTAAAATTACCAAAGTTTTACTAGAACATAAATAGCAATGAGAAATCTAAGAGCAGCATCCTTTAAGTATTCTTAACTACTCCTCTTCAGAAACGATTCACTACTGTTTGGCAGTAAGATTAAGATCAAATACACACAAGCATGTTGAAGCTCATCAATTACTCCCCTGCCGGTCACTATGTAGACCAACTTTTACCTTTTTTTGAACGTTATAAAATTATTTCACCCAATATATGCACATGTCTCATATTTATGATCTAGCCACTGCTTGTTCTTCATCTTATTTTGGTAGGCTAGGTCAGTAATTTTATGTTTTACAATAAAACTACTTTGTCCTCCAAGAAAAACATTGTTCTGAAAATAATTTTAAAATAAAATACAACATAAAAGCTTCCATTCATAATTTGGAGAGCCAACCTACTACTGTTAAGAAAAAAACAACAAAACCAATCAGCATAGATACATACCTGACCATATTCCTCAAGGTCTCCTTTTCCTTCCTCAAGGGTAACAAAGTTCCCTGCTGGTGTCCTATGTAAAGATAATCGGCCCTTTTTGGACCTTTTGTTGGGATCAGCAACTGGGTCCTTAAAGACATTAATCTGGAATCCAAATTAAGAAAGAGGAATAGAAGACTAATCATTAGAATGTATACCCCCACTTAAAAAAGAAAGTATATACATAATTTATAAATTCTAAGGCACTTTATAGGTATAACTAAACCAATCCACATTGGGCTTTCAGAAACATAACTCTAGCCTATTTTGGAGGACACAATCCTGTTATGAAAAAAGGTTTGAAAAAAATCCAAATCTTAGGAGATCCTTTAACCACTGCAGAATACCTAATACTCCATTTGTAGTAGGTCCTTGAGGTTAAAATGTAACCCTTAAAGTGTCTCCTTGTATATTACAAATTGTCTCTAAGCTGATCATGCATACTATTGGAAAAAAATCTATGTTAACTCTATTATATAATCTGTGGCAAGGAAACCAGGATCATACTAAGGTAAAAGCTTTCCTACTTCATAACCTTTTCCTTTTGTTACTTTTTAACTCTATTACCTACTTACTGCCAGAAGCAAAAAAGACCTAGAGAACATGAAGAGAGCAGAAGGTTTGTTTTAGGATCAGAAAGTGGGACGACAAAACCTAATAGAAGCAACTAGTGATGGCTATGAGAGGAGAAGCTGACAAGTCAACCCCAGAAGTGCCCAGAGAAGGACGGAGGTGAGGTGACGCAGGAAGCCCCCCAGGTGTTCTCAGAGGTTCTTAGTATCCCCCACCCCCACCCTCTGATCCACAGACTCTCCATAGCCTATAAAGAGCTCAGGGGATTGTTGGTCAGCTGCCTAGCAGCTGGGGTTCTCCTGTTCTAAGGCTACTAGAATGTGATTCTGGTATCACAACTCCAACTTTACACTCCATCTTCCTAAAGCACTGTTTTGACAGTGTTTACATACTTGCATGTCTTTAATATATGATAGCTATGTCAACTTTTTGATTCAGAGGTACATACTGAATCAGTGGGAAATGACTGACCTGCATTCTCTCTCTTAAATAATCTCTTATTTTCTCTCCTTTTTCCAAGTCTCCTTTTTTCTCCTAAGTCATGTTATTTATTACCTAATGTCTCTTTTCTTTCCTTGTTTCTGAGTCAAGGTCAGTGGCACCTGACAACATATTCATAGTTCAGGACCATATTATCCTTTGGTTACCATATTCAGCAGCTGCATTCTACCTAGATACATCAAGAAGGTACTAATACAGGAGTGAAAGTTGAAGGACATACCCCAAGACCATTGGTTACAACATAACTACACTTGAAGGAACAATTCAAGAGATCTCTTGTTAATTTCTGTAGCAAAGCTCCACCAGAACCAAAGGCAATATTTTCAATACTCCATTTTTCTTGCTTCATGCCTTCTACAATCTAGAAGATTAAAAAATAAAAAACAAATAAGTAAACAAAAACTAAGTATTTTGGAAGAGGAAGGAAGTAATTTTCATTGGGCCATACTGATAAATACTAAACCATCCTAGAGCTGTTTTATAACACAGTAAATAATGAAGTAAGAATAAGGCCTACACAAAGTTATAGTCCACATTCTCTCTTTTAAAAGACCCACTCCCTCGAAAAAGGGCAGCCTGAGGGCTAAGTGTGGAAGGAGGGGATTTCATTCAAAGTTCCTGAATTTGTGGTGGTGGTGTCACTGTGATTGTGGTTGGGGTTGGGGGAGTGAAGGAAATGAGAGGCAGAGAGGAGAAACTGGCTATCAATATCTAAGGTTACTTGGGTAAACTTCTCTCCTCTGCGTCTCGAGCTTGTATTGCCTACATGCCAGAAGCACACGCAAGGGAGCCGAGACATCTGCTCCAAATACTAGACTCGAGGAACGACTAATCAGCACTAATAAATCTCAGCACATGTTATCACGTCGGAGTGCCTGTCATATGTGATAGGGCATTTAAAAATTAATGGATATTGGTGGTAAAACAATATAAAATATTCTCTCCTGCCTAAGAGTTGAGACATTTTATTCCAGCTGGTGCTCCAGTGCCATAATCAAAATTATGAACAGACTAGGTGTTAAGATTTATCACTGGATCATTTTTGGGAGAATGATCATCTACTAAGCCAGCTAGAGAGACCTGTATGAACATATAGTTCTCGCAGCTAAAACAGTTCTTTCAAGGGACACACATTTAAAAGTTACATTAATTTATTAAGCTACATTATTATCAATGTCATTTGCATTTCTCCTAAGTAGGACTTATTTACCTAGCATCTGTCATCTGATTTAACATGTTCAAGCACTTTTATGATAGAAGGTGGCAAGTGAAATTTAGTAACCATTCCTTTAATTTCATGAGACTAGTCAAAAGGAAGTAATTGGAAAATCTGGTTCTATTTTATTTAAACAGATCATTCAGAAGTGATTAGAAAATCATAAGCAATTTTAACAGTTTTATGTGAAATATTAATACAAATTCACCATATTCTCTTTTAATACTAAGAGTCTCAAACTGACTTTTTATCTATTCCTTATTTTCAATACTGCAAGATAAAAATACATCAACTCCAAGGACCTTCATCTTTTAACAAACCCACATTTAGAAATGCAACTTTCTTTTTAAATTCCAACCTTTTAATTCTCCTGCTATACGTGTAGCTTTCTTTTTCTTTTTTACCAGCGGCATCAAGGGGGAAACATATACAATTTATTTCAAAGTGATTTCTTAGGCTGTACATAAACCCAGTCTCATGTCTTTATTATTATACCTGAACCCAGGAGTACTCAAGAGCCCTGAATTCAGATTTATTTTTCATTGACAACTGGGAACAAGTATAACACACAAAGTACAACAGCAACAAAAACCTTATGAAATTAAGGCATGTTCCAAAAGAGTGCATTTCAATATGGAAGAAATACAAAGAGTAGAAGAGAAAACAGAGGAAAAGAAAGGGAAATGGACTGATGGAGGGTAAGGTGGTTTGGGTAAAATAGAGAAAACAGTTTCAGACCTGTCACCTGATTTTATATATGCCTCAGAAGCACAAGAATGAGGAAATTACAAAGAAGAGTATCAACTAATGTCATCTCTCGGTATTTTGGGTCCAGTTTCTTTAAGATATTGTTCCCATATACCTTCACCAAAAGTTATAAAATTTAGACAGTTTAGAGTTAAAGTGAATTTTTCTGTTAACATTACAGGAAATTATAGAATTAAAGAAAAAATTGCTATTTAAAAATGTTTACATATACAAATCAGAAAATCTGATTAGACATAAATTAACAAAATACCACTCTTCATTCTCATATCTCACACCCAAGGTATCTAACGTAACTGAAATGAGAAGTCATTACACCATTAGGGTTTAAATGAAATATTTTTAACACAGCCATACATTTAAATCATGCACTACAATCTACAAGTGCTTTCACAATATTTTATGTAGATCAAAAAATTAATTTATTCTTATCATTAAGATTTACATAAAACCAATGTCTTCTATTAAGTCTCTAGACTGAAGTTGTGAGGATCAGGGTAAATTTCCTAGAAAGGTAGAGAAAAGGGTTCTAAGAAAAGAACAGTAGGATAGCTAACGAGGAAGAAAAATGTTTAAAATATGTGGGACTTCACTTGAAAAGAAATCTTCTTGCCAATTTTGAGAATTCGATACCATTTTAATGTCATTAATGAATCACTCCGATGGAAAGGTTCAATGATAATAATGACTGAATCCCTACCCAAGATACAAACAGAAAGAGCAGACACACTGTTGTGTTTTGTCCAACACAAAAGAGATTTCTGCCTCTCTTCCTAAGTAAGCAGACTCACTTTGGTAACACAAAACCCTAGAGCAGGGTGACACTGTACACTTCGTGGGACATTACAGGGAAGACGGTGAAGGGCAAACTCCAAGAGCAAGGCTGACAGTCAATGAGAGAACTCAGCTGTTTGAAATTAAAAGATTTTTCATTTTGTCAAAATGAAGGCATCTAATTTAGTATATGTGCAAAGCAAAGCTGCTATGTGAATTCCTTTTCCTGCTCCTAAAAGCTTCTTTTGACCACCTCCACGATGAGGAAGGCAGGCATTCCTTTAGGTAAAATAACACGAGTGCATCTGCATGTACACAAACCCTTCATTGTCTGAGCGTTCTGTTTCACGTTTTTCCAACGCCAAACAGTATTTGTCTTCATATTTAACTTCTTGTGGATGGGGTTAAATAAAATTTTTAAGTTTTGAGTTGATTCTCAACTTTAAAAATGCACATACATTCTCTCAAAGTTTATTTAAAAAAAAAAACAAAAACAAGAGAAAGGAAAGCCAAAGAGCTTCGGCTTTGAAAGGGAAGTTCAAGTGCCTGATTGAACAACCCAATAGAAAGAGCTGGACCACTGGAACAAGGAAGGGGAGGAACAAGCAATGGGAAGGGCTGGGGCTAATGGGTTTTCTGCAGCTGGTACAGTCCCCTGCTCATGTTTCTTCATCTGAAAGGGGGGCGCGAGGGTGTGAGGGCACCTGCTAAACTGCCTATAATGTAGGTAGGGGTAATAGTTCTCAACTGATACCAGAGTAAGAAACCTTTAACTCAGCTAAGGAGACAACAGCAACTGAACACACCAGCTGAGATTTCTATCCTCAAGTCCTCCTCCTCACTGCAGACTTTTCTTCTACCTCTTCCTTCCTTTTCACATGGAAACCCCTAATGTCCCAATACCAAAAGTCTCCCAGGAGTTTGGGGGAGTTTCCACTTTTCTTAGGCAAAGCAGTTTGGGAGAGTTGGAGGAGGAAACCTCATTTCTGTTATTGCAAGAATCTATTCCAGACACCTCCTTTTGGAACTCTAAATGAACATCACCTCAGAAATACTGTTTATTATACACAATAGTTCTTATTTTAAATGAATCTTATTTGGAAAACAAACTACTTATAATTTGGCTACTGACTTTAACTACATCCAACTCTCTCAAACAGAAAAACCCTCTGATAACTTGTGTTATACAAGCGGATACCATGTGAGACCCACACACACTGAAGTTAGTGGTTCACAACAGCAGATAGTCTACGTTATGCTATCAGTGACAGCCTTAATTTTTATGAGTATTTTAGGTATTAGTTAAAATGAAATTATAGCTCTTTAGAAGCTTATTTGAGAAACAGCAGAGGCAAAAGTTTTAATATAATACTTACACTATTTGGTTAAATCTAACAATAATAGTGATGATAGTCAATGTTTAATTTAGAAGAGCTAACAAACCATTCTGTAATTTTTGAAAAAGCACTTATTAATACCATTCGAATTTCACATTATTAGAGTATGTGAAACCCCATTCTATTAAAACAGACTCATTTGAGTAGTGTTAAGGCTATGTTTTATATACAAGGAATATTCCTTAACTGGCATTTTCTTGTTTCCTAGTGACACTTCTTCAGGTTCATCATCCAGGGTGGCCAGTTAGGACTGGCAGTAGTTAGTGTGGTGTGGCTGGTACTTCTATACTTTAAGTTACTATTATTTATACATTTTAAGTAATTAACAGAAAAGACATATACCATTATAAACACTTATGAAAAGAATCACAATTGTACTTAAATTATTAATGCATTGTTTATCAAATAAAAAAGAGATTAATTATAAGGACTGCCTTATTCGAACTTTTAATATAAAACACATACCTCTTGTAAGGTATTAATATCTACGCCATCTCCTTGAATAACTCTAAGATAAGGTGGCAGCAACTTGTAGCCCTTTGAGTTCTCAGTAACAGGGAACTTCTTACCTAAAATATCCAAAACCTGTATGGAAAAATACACATCGAACACAAAATAACTAAAAGCGAAAAAAAAGTGTAAAAGCTTTCCAATGTTAAAAAAGTGACTTTGCTAGACAATCTTGAGAATATAATAATCAGATTACTGAAAAAATTTCACAACACTATGTATAAGCCTTCTAAAATTTAGTCTCAATTCGTTTTGATTATGTTAGAAATAGGCATGCTATTTTCTATCAAGTCAATTTATACTGTAAAGTGGCTCAAAACACCAGCTTTTTCTCTCACATTTTTCAAATTATACAGATTCAGAAAAAAAACCTTTAACATTAGAAACTTAAAACAGTAAATATAATATTTTAAAAAGTATATAAAGCGTCATTTAACAAACTCACAATTATACTTTTGATTTAGATTTATTCTACTTGTGCCCAATAGTTTAGTTTGGTTTAATCTGTCTGATATAACTCAAATATAAATCCATTTGGATCACAAAGTTCAGAGAAATCATGATATGCAGGCAGAGCTGGAAATGAAGCATATATAGCCCACAGTTTCTCTGAAGTTCTCCTCACTTAAAGATGACACTCATTTTTCTTAAAGCCAAATTGCATAATATGCAAATCATCCCACTTATTCATTAAGTTTTGTAGCAGCTAAAGTACCTAAACACTGATTTAAAATTTCTCAGAAAGCTTGGTCAGAGACACAAGAGACCTACCAGACATATTCCTGCCCCCAATAATCACTCCCTTTTTCTAAATAAAGATTCTAACAATGAGAAAATTCCATATTGATAACTCAGTTTATTCTTAAAACTAGGTCTGTACATTTTTATTAGGTAACAGGAAAAACATGAAATGTGTTAAGTTTGCTAAAACCAAATCTGTTAATATTTCAGGCTAAGGTAAGACCTTCAGATTGGCTATTACTTAATAGGATAGGAAAAGACCTCCTTGATTCTCTATTCCCCTTTCTTAAGGGGTAATTTATCATCTAATCATTAGTTGGGAAACTGTGGTCAAGTGGGAAGGCAACAGCGAGAAAGACCTATGTTGGATACTTGACTTATTTCACATGTTGTGTCACCTTAAGCAAATTACTTTAACCTCTCTAAGCCTGCTGCTTTGTCTATAAAAAAAAAAAAAGAGACAGTAATATCTATCATGAGGTTTTCACAGAGATTAAATGACACAGCTTAAGTAAAGCACCTAACATAATATTTTCTAGCAATAAGCATCAAATAACCTGCTCCTATTAGTGCTTATCAAAGAAGGCAAACCAAGTCCTAAACACTGAAAAAATGCAACATTGCTACATTAGCATCAACAGTATCTCTAAAGAATCACTACTTGAAAGGAATTTTCAAATTATTTTTATTCCACATCACTTTGCACATATTTCTTTTGCACTAAAAACTTCAAAGGTAGAGCAATGACTTGTGATAAAGGAAAAGAAACAAACCACAAACTTGGTAACCAATTCACAGGTTTGCTTAAAGTAGTAATGCTATTAATTAATTTTGAAGGAAAGTAGAAAAGAAAATATCTATTCAACAGTACTTAACTGTCTATTTGACAGTATATAAATAACCCATAACTCTGGGTATCCTTTCTCTGGAATTAATGTGTGACCTTGGGCAAATCTATTACTCTCTCTGGGCTGCAACTCTAAAGTAAGGGGACTGGTCAAGATGGTTCTGAAATGGTGTGTGTACAAATGAAATTAAAAGTCGTGTTGATGCAGCCAGTCTATAGGTATTTTAATAATCAAGTTACGTATTAAAATTTACCTTTAATACAGTGTCAAGAGGATTTCCAGAATCAGGTCTGATTATTAGTGGTGCTGCTGTACTTCTTGATACTATTAAGTGTCTTAGATCTTCACCCCATATTTTCTCACACGCATTATAAATGTCATAGCTATCGCTGACCACAGAGACAGGCACTGATGAAAACTGTGTTACTATATGTTCAAAAGCATCTTTTTCGTGGTCTTTGCCCCAAGCTGTTATGGTACTAGAAAACAAAACAAAAATACAGATTTACTTAGGCAGACACATTATCTGTTCCTGAATCATATCCCATGTTTACTATACTATACGTCAACACTGCAGGGAAGGTGAGTGATTTAGTTTAACAAATGCAACATCATAAGGTTAGTTGAATATTTGGGCCAAACCACCCCTTGGCCAATTTTTTTCAAGACTATAAGTAATCTTACTCTTCTCCAATAGTTATTTTGGCTCTTAAGTCAAATTCAACCAACTATAAACTAGGTTTTTTTTTAAATTCCTGAACCTACTCATTTAATATCAAAGCTAAAAAGCACTTGCTGAATGCACTCTATACATTATGCCAAGATGTCAGAATGAACACATATATTCCCATTATTTTGCTAGGTAACGCAACCACTTGGCTCCCTTCTGTGAATTTTCAAAACCATATACCAATAATAGCAGGGACATACATTACATCTTTTTTACTTTTCAAAATCTTATACTTAAAGGCAATTACTTAGACAATTATTTATACTATACCATACATACATATAGTCAACTAACTCTTTACCTGTTATATCTTCAAATGGCCAGTAACAGGTAGTCATTTATTTCTTTTATAGATTATCTACTACTAATTAATATATGCCCAGGGAATAAGAATTTTAATACTTAGTTTGAGCAAAACATAATTAAGATGAGAAATAAAGTATGAGAATTTCTATCAGGCAAGAATGGTTATAGTGATTTTTACAATGTCCTCAATAATGGATTAATAGAGTAATAATATGTAACTTAAGTACCTGTTGGTTAATTAATATATAATATAAACCATTTTAAAAATTCTTAAACAGAATTTAATAATTGTTACCATTTCCTCATGTCAGGCAATCTTTCCTTCTCCCTAATTTTCTAGTCTTTGCCTCTATCCCATTTTCCTAAGTAAAATAACGGAAAGACAACCCATTCATTTATTATGTAATTCCATGTAGGTATAAGTTTATCTCAAAACTGTCTCAAGAGGCATACTAACTTATGTTTGAAATTGTAATTTTATTTCTAAAGGACTGGAGTAAACAACTTTTCAATGGTATGCTGGTGATAGCAGTGTATGGACACTGCAGGGTTATAAACACTTACTACCCAGAGACTACTCTTGTCTGAAATGGAGAGAGAACCTATTTATATATAAACTCATTTTATAGTGAACACTCTGCTTAACAACTACAGGGGCTGCCAATAGCTAGGATGCCAACTCTTACTTCATGTAAGCATCTGAAGGCTAAAGGGAAAATTAAGACATGGATGAAGAGAAGCCCCATCTTCACATCAAGAATGCTACTGTCCTCTTTATAAGGGAAAGAATTCAACTCCAAGAACACCAACACCGGAGAGATGTACAGTGTAAGAATAAACTCCTATAGTCAGAGGTCACGGCTTATGCAGTTACGTTTTACTAGCGTTGTATCAATACAGTCATCTAATTCTGCTATTTGTGTGTATTGTGTCTAGCAAACTGAACTGTTCATTTTTAGTCTTTATCTTACTTGCTTTCTCTATGGGATTTGAACTTTCCTGAAGCTTCCTTTCCCATGATTTCAATGACAGCTCCCATGTTTTGATTTTTTTTTTTCTATTTCTATGGTTCCTTTTCAGTCTCTCCCAGATGCTGTGCTCTCCTTCTAGCTAACCAAGGCTCTGACCTGGGCACTGTCTCCCTCTACACACATCTCCCTGTGTGAAAAACACTCAAAGCTTTTCAAAAATACCTGTGTGGTAAGGGTTTCCAAAATCTGTACTTTAGCCCAGGTTTTTCTTCTGGACTCCAGATCCACTTCATTAGGTAGGAAGATGAATTTCTTCATCTCATCATCCTATAGACATTTTCTATAGCACCCTCTACACAATCCAATCATAACACCTACTCTAGTATAGTACTTGGTATATGAAGATTATAATGTTTGTTCAATGAATTCTACTCATGCTCTTATTGCAATTTCCAGTATCAAATTAAATTTGATATCTTTCCAAAGTTGGAGGAAAGCGTTATGTAATTGAATATTTCTAAGTCTAGATTCATATATTCCTTAAGAAACTATCTATAACAATAATGGCAATGCTCTAAATTTCAGAGTTCTCTTATTTTTAAGTTATTTTTGGTGTTAGCTCATTTATCCTCAATGACCTTCTGATGTTGAGATGTACAATTTTAGCTCCTCCTTTTGTTTGGCTGGACAGAGGAACCAAAGAAGAGAGAGAGAAGTGATTGCCCAAGGCCACCCGGTATGTCAGCTGTAAGGTCACTCAGGTTTCCCAACTTTCAGTGCAAACCTCTTTTCACTATATTATGCTGTTGTTTGAAAGACTTTTCTATTTAAGAACATCTGAAATATTCTTATTCAAACTTACAAGTGCAGTAAATATTTTGAGACTAAAAATAAAATGGATTTTCACTCTGTTTTAACATGAAAGGCCTAAAGAAGATATTATCTTTAGTCTCAGATTTATAGTATCATACCCATTATAGTATCATACTCGTGATGTTATTACTTTGAAACAAAACCATCAGTGAAGAGCCTAATATATGAATACTACATTAAGTTTTTAAAAGATATACATACAAGTCCAAAATAAAAATACTGTAATCCTAAAACCTTTATCTGTTAATGACACCCTTATATTCCCAGTTTCACTAATCTTGAATGTGAAATTATTCAATAAGGCCCTACTAACACAGCAATGCTCATTAACCTTAGCTGAATCTACTCTCTACTGGGCTCTAATTCAAATCATCAAGTTCTAACAATTTCATCTTTGAAGCCATTGCTCATGTTTATCCACTTCTTCCCATTTTAGCCACTTGGTTCTGAACCTTGCCATCTCTCAAAACTATTGCAATTGCTTCCTGTAAAGCCTCCTAATTTCTTGTTTCTTTTTTTCAATTCATAGGCTAACCTGCCATCAAAATAATCTTCCTAAAATAGTTCTGATGACATCACTTCTTTGCTCAAAAAGTTCAATGCCCCACTCCTATCTGAAAATGCAATTACAATGACCTAGCATGATACTCATATAGTTAACATTCAATGTCAAAATGAATTTGAGGGCCTATACTAACCTGTCTTCCCAGATTACCCATGTTCCCTACAAAATCTCTCTGTTTCAGCCCTTATTTCCTAAACGATTTCACACTCTCCTTCCTCTCTTTCATTCTGCTCATTCAGGACAATGCTGACACAGGGTACGCAGGCAATAAATATTACTCAGAGAATGAATGATCCCCCATATCTGCCATTAAATTTTACCATTCCTTCAAGAAGTCAAGATTTCACATATCACCTCTATAAAACCTTTCTTGATCCCACCAATGGAATATGATTCTTCCTTTCCTTCCCTTGTACTACTAGAGCCCTTTAATTGCACCTCTTTAATAGCACTTAATCAACAGAGCAGAATGTTGCTAGTGTACTATTTTCATCCTGAAGATAGGGTCCGATTTTTATCTTTCTATCCCTTGTAGCACCCAGTAGATTGCCTTACATAAAAGCTCAGCTTTACTCTAAACTCACCGTTGGTTTTAGCACCCTGCAATATTCAAGTATGAGTGGAACTTAATATACCTTCCCAAACCAATTACAGTAAATAATTTTTGTTATAAGAACCAGAAATAAGGTTTGGCACAAATTTTAAAAACTCCACTGACTTTTCAATAAAGTTAATTCTAGGAGCTGCAGCCTAGATTATAATTGCTTTCTGGTTTAACTCGAGATGGCTCAGTAAGATCAGATAAAGAAGCATAAGAAGAATCTGAACGCCCTCTCTTTCATCAAAAGGGCTTACTTGCTCATCTACAATTGAGGGTACTGGGTCCAGATGACAATTGCCAGGGCAAAGATAGGTGAGCTCATGTAGAGGAACAGGGAAAGGGGAAAAAGTGACCAGGTTTTACAGTGAGTGCTTCTAGACTTAATTTAACAAATAAAACCTATCTGCATATGGCAACAGAGCAGTTGAAAAAGTCCTTAAAATAAACCCTATATGGCAATATGAGAGTTGAAAAAAGCTCTTAAATTGTTTCCATTAGGATGGTTAAAGGTTCTCTACCTTCCTGATATGAATCTTTATACAAAGTATAAATACTGAATTTGTACTGCTTAAATTCATGAAGATTCACTGTAGGACCTGGCTCTACAGTTAGGCAAAACATCACTGAATTACAAGAGTGAAAAAATAGTAGTTTTAGAAAACAAATGTTTAGATAATAGGAAGAGGAAAACAGAATTTTACCTGTGTTCTGCCGCTGGAACAGAATAGCCTGGAACACGATCTTTCGTTCCATAGTATTTTTTAACTAAAGCAATTCCTGCTACTGTATCTGTTCCTTTGAAGTTAACCAAATGAGCAGATGCTCCTATGCCAGCAGTCTGGAAAATAAACAATAAACCAAAATCCAAAAAAGAAAAAGAAAAGACCCATACTTGAGGTATACAGCATAGCTCCCGAAGGAATTACTGTCTTCAGTATTCTTCGAGAGATAATATCAGATATCTCTGATAATAGTTCCTTATGACAAAGATCTAGTTTTTCCTAAATATTTAAAGATTCAACTGTTACGTCCTCAAAGAGACCTATTAAATAGTGACCTGCCCCCAATTCCCATCACCTTCTTTCCCCTTACTCTGCCTTGTGCTCTCTGTAGCATTATCTGACAGCTGCTAAATTTATGTCTGTCTGTCTGTCTGTCCACCTGTCCGTCCATCCATCCACCCATCTGGTATATAAAGGATAGGGACATTTGCTGAAGGCTATATTCCATGTACTTGGAACAGGGGCTGACACACAGTAGGTACTTAATATGTGTTTGCTGACTGGATCTTTAGAATTTCAAAATGTGGCCTACTTAGAACCAAGATCAATCCCAGTAACTTCCCCAAAAGTTTACAGTGGTAATCTAACTGACAGTCCACATTTCATTAAATGAAGTTCATTTCATAGTTTCTTACCTCTTGGGAAGAGACTCCTCTGTAGCCAAAGTCATGTAACTTGTATTCCAGACCATCTAAGTTACCAGATGTTTCTAACAAATATTTGGCCAATATTTTCTTCTGCTCTCTAGAATTTGTGGCCACTGTGATTGGATACCAGGATTGAACAAGAATAGTCTGTAGTAATAAAATTAACCACAAATATTAAAACATAAAATATTGGGTTCTTTCTGAGGAAAATCCTACCTCTCTCTGGAGATATGCCCTGGACTTCCATACTACTAGAAAAACCCATTAAATATTTCAACTGTATAGCAGAATGCCCACCATGTGCATTCCAGATATAGTCCACAGGTCAGTTCTCAAATCAGCAAAACAAAGGATAAGCACACCAGGCCCTTAATGGTAGAAAACGTCAAATTACCTAGTTTCTATCCAAAGTGCCAAAGAAGCAAATAATATTTAGAAAGACTATCTGTGATGAAATACTACTTTTTAAAATATTTTCTGTGTGTCATGGATGAATAGTTTTATAAAATATACTCACACTTGGATGTTGAGGCAATTACTATAAAAGTTTCTAAGTGCTTAGCCTCGATTTCTGTATTTAATGTGGACCTGTAGGGACCAGCACTGGTCCACGGACTACACCTTGAATAGTATGGGTCTAAAGTTATTCATTTATTCCTCTAGGTAGTTTTTTTTTTTTTTTTTTTTTAATTTTTTTTTTTTATTTTTTTTTTCCCCCAAAGCCCCAGTAGATAGTTGTATATCATAGCTGCACATCCTTCTAGTTGCTGTATGTGGGATGCGGCCTCAGCATGGCCGGAGAAGCAGTGTGTCGGTGCGCGCCAGGGATCCGAACCCGGGCTGCCAGCAGCAGAGCACGCGCACTTAACCACTAAGCCATGGGGCCGGCCCTCCTCTAGGTAGTTTTGGATCTAATTTTTCCTTGGATAACATAACTACACTAGTAGGTTATATACTTGAGATACTTTTGTTTAGCACTAGAGATTCTACTCACTGAGTTATGCTTTATGTCCTTGGATTTATCAAAAGTCACTGTAAGAAAGCCAAATGAAACTTTTCCGCATATGCTATAAAATTGCAAGGTCACTATTTTATAACTCAGGGCCTATTATATAAGTTCCCCAATGAGGAAACGGAAGAATTGCTAGGTTCCTACTTTCTGATAAGAACTGGCCCTTCATTTCTTTTTTCCTTGGCTGCCAGGAAACCCCAAACAAAGCCTGATGCTTAATCACAGCAACTGCATTAATTATTACAGCTTGGGAATTCACTCCTTCTCCATCCTAGGATCATAATTTTCTATTTTTATTTTATTAACCAGGTAATGTGTTATTAGAAGCAGCCTCAAATTTAAGAAAAAGCTGCTAAAATGACAACAATGTCTGAGCTCATTCAAAAAGCTATTTAATTTCTTAATTAAATTTTACAAAGCAAGCTTTTACTGAATACCAGCTAAATGATCAAGAAATAAAATAAGTAAAAACAAATAAAAAGATTATTTAACCTTAGACTTCCCAACTTGGTCACCTAAAAAGAAAAAAACTGTAGCATTAGACTCCTATGACTGTTTAAATATGGCCCCAAATCTTTGCAGCTCCTCTCATCAAGAGATGGAATCTGTTTCTTCATCTCTTGATTCTGGGCTGTCCTTATGATTTCCTTTTGACCAACAGAATGTGGTGGAAGCCATACTGTATGACTTGCAAGCTTCTGTTTCAAGAAGTTTTGCAGCTTCTACTCTCGTTCTCTTAGAACCTGAAGACCTCCATGCTGTGAAGAAGCCTAAGTTATGGAGAGAGGCCCACCACTCCCAGAGATCTGGGCTGAAGCCCCAGACACGGGAGTGAGGCCATTTTAGACTGTCCTGTCCTAGCTGAACCCTAGCTGAATGCAGACGCATAAGTCCATGCAAGACCAGTAGAGAACCATCCAGTCAACCATGGAACCATGAGAAATAAGAGCTGTTTTATTTTGCAGTAGTTACATAATAATAGAAAACTGATGTAACTCCTAACTTAAACTCTATAAACCATCATCTCCAATCTCAAATCATTCTGTTTCTGAAATTACTCTTTTGATTCCACTGCCAATGCCCACGATTACCCTACCTCTAATCTTTAGCTTCTCTGACTTACTCTTCCTACTGCCACTGGTTATCACTCTAAAGCAGGAGTTTTATTCAGATTGCGTCAACCCCTAAAATCCTTTAGTGGCTATCTTCTGTCCATAGGGGAAACAAGCCAATTCATATAGAAATCTGAGGCCTTCTATAATCTTGCCTTGTTTACCGTCTAAATGTTTATCTCCTACTGTATCTTCCCCTTTCATGCTGCAGGTCCCCTGCGGCTATGTGCCGTCCTGAGCACACTGTGCCGTTTCCTCAGCTCTTCCTTTCCCTTATTAAAAGCTTATTTTCCATTTCATGATTAGACAGAAACAGCTATTTTTCTGCTACCAATTCAGCATTAATTCTTACTTATATTAGTGGTTAGTTCAGAATGAATTCCTCCTCCCCCAAAGGCCTTTAAATCAGACATATCTTACTCTAATTTCTGTGCCCAGCATTTTTTGCTACATAGCTGGTAATCAATCAATATTCATTTGTTGACTTTAATTCGATTAACTCACATTTTAATTTAACTTAGATTGATATTATCTAGGAGTAAAAGAAAGATATAAAATATAATGTGAAAAACTCTAGTTGAGTTATAAAGGTAGAAGATGGACTTTACCCCTCAAAAAATGCCAGAGATGGAAAGAAACAACTATCAGACACAGTGATCCTTCACATCACCATTTCCTTTCCATAGTCCAACAAAACAGCTTAAATTATACTCTTAATAAAATCACTCCCCTTTAAAAAAGATCACTGTAGGTATAAGCAAGGGAAAAAAAGGCAAGTTAGTTTGGGTTAATCCAAGATCTATTAAAGTCGACCTTGTTGGAAACTTTTCCAAAATCAAGATAAAATTTTTAGCTGAAAACTAAGACTAAAGTAAATGAAGTTACAAATTTCATCTAAGAAGTGTTTATTACAAGGTTACTGTGCAGGATAAGGAATTTTAAAGGATAAGAAGAGGTGTGGTATATATAGTAGAAAGGGGACTGGACTTACTCTGTCAACTAGTCTGCTCACCTCTCAGGGCTCAATATTCCCATCTATGAAATGAGGGCATTCGATTAATGGAATGGTTTTTTTTTGTTTTGTTTTATTTTTTGCGAGGAAGATTGGCCCTGAGCTAACATCTGTTGCCAATCTTCCTCTTTCTGATTGAGGAAGACTGTCCTTGAGCCAACATCCATTCCAATCCTCCTCCACCTTGTACATGGGACGCTGCCACAGCATGGCTTGACAAGCAGTGCTTAGGTCCATGCCCGCGATCCCAAACTGCAAACCCTGGGCCACCGAAGTGGAGCATGTGAACTTAACCACCATGCCACCAGGCTGGCCCCTGGAATGGTTTTTAAAGTCATCTTTTCTTTTCTTTTTAACAGCAAAAAGGTTTTGTTTTGTCTTTTGGTTGGAAGAGACGGTTAGGTATAGCCCAATATGCTCATTCGTCAGCCCCCTTGTAAGTCTGAGACACCTTTGCAGAGCATTTAGGCACTCTGAAATGTGTTTTGAGGACTAAGGTTTCTTCTAGCACCGATACTGAAATTGGTAAAGCAATTCAATAATTTTAGTGGATTTTAAAATTCAGTGTATGGTAAATAACAATCAAAGAACATTATTAATAACTTTGAACATACACTGGTAGAGGGAACTGGAAGGAACACAATTAGTGCTATCATTTAAAATGTTTTAAATCAAGAATTGCCTAAAGAAAATCTGCAAGTTTGTAAATAACAAGTTTGCTGGATTTGGTAACAGATTTCATACACAAGCTGGTAAACTTGGGTTGGGGATGGATAAGAGTAAGACAAACCTCCTCTAACCCCACACAAAACCCCACAAAGGATGCAAAGGGACTATGAAGAAGTCTCTTCTGGAGACCTGGTATTTAGAGTAAACACAATTTTTTATAAAACAAGATCTATCTAAAACTACAATAAGGGATTGCGTTGGACCATAAAGTTTTGTGCCTTAGATATAAATACGAACCTACGACTGAAATTATTTAAAATAATATATATTAGTAGAATAGAAAGTAAACTTGATATAAGTTCTGTTTCAGGTTATAAGCAAATAAAAACAAGGAACTATGTACTTTTTTTCCTTAAAAATCTAACAGTCTCATATTTTATGTTTAATAATTTTTAAATTAAAAATAATTTTATTTATATATTTGCTAATAATAAACTACTGCTCTAAAATGTCTATATATAAAATTTTTTACTTTGTTTTAGTGAAATACACCAAAATAATGATTATTAAAATAGGTTCTTTTTTTTTTTTGGTGAGGAAAATTAGCCCTGAGCTAACATCCATTGCCAATCCTCCTCTTTTTGCTGAGGAAGACTGGCCCTGACCTAACATCCATGCCAGTCTTCCTCTACTTTATATGGGACACCGCCACAGCGTGGCTTGATGAGCAGTGTGTATGTGTGTGCCTGGGATCTGAACCTGCGAACCCCGGGCCTCCAAAGCGGAGCAGACGAACTTAACCACCACGCCACCGGGCCAGCCCCTACGTTCTTTTTTTAAGGCTAGTGTTTCTTCACTTTCTGAAGAGGGTGAAGAAAAACATAAATGAAACAAGGTGGACTGGGAACTAGTTCTCTATGTCCATAAACATCTGTTTTATGGAAGTTCAATTAGATACAAGGGAAGAGAACTTAACTAACTAAATTCTCAACTAGAAAACTTAAAAAAAAATAAAAGCAAGAAAAGCTTATCCATAGATGATGATTTTCAAAATAAGATTTATGTTTGAGACCTTTTGGCACTGAAGGTAAAAGGATAGACTAGACGACGTGGTTAAGCACTCTTCTACTCTTGTGTTTTTATAATGCCAGTCCCTCAAAATCAAATATTTGCCAGTACAAATACTATGACAATTGTACAAAAACTACTAAGATACTTTTCTTTTACTTTGAGTTCACAATTAATTCAAAGTTTTAAGACATAGCAGTAAACTATTTAAAATCTTTATTTTAATTAATTGTACATTTTCTCTGAGCCTATTAGCCTATTATTAGTTGATGGCTCATCAAGAGTCTAATAAATAAGTTTTAAATTTCCTGTTGACTTAGCAAAAATATATTTCAAACCTACTCTTGGACCTCTTACTTTTTCTAAATTTTTTCCAGTCTTTATTAATGAACCTCAAATGTATTATTTTACAATATAACAACAAATTAGTTTAACTAATAAACTAATGAGATAAAGAGTCAGTTCTAAGCACTAAGTAAACACCTCTCAGAGAGTCAGGTGATATTTCTATAGTCACTTCTAAGCTATTTCCTCTTGTAGATAAAATCTAAATTAAGCTGTTAAGAAGCTAAGAAGATTACTAATATAAAAACTATAAGCATATGAAAATATGTGATTGCTTAAGATTAGATGTAAGGAAAACAAACAAAAAGCCTTTGCAACATCAACTAAGAGTCTACAATGTACCCTCTTTTTGGGCTTTGAAATTAAACAAATGATCAGTGAATCTTGAATATATTTAGATGAGAACTATCAGGTGGTAAAGCCTGGGACCTAAACTGATTAGAAGAATGAAGAAAGCAGTTATTAAAAATTTGAACAAAATTCCTTTAGTCTAACTGGAACAGAATATCCATAAAATGTCTTAAGTTACTAAAAATGTACCTGTGCTGTTTTTCTAATTTTTCTCTATGATAATATGTATTTAGGATTCCAACAAATAAAATGGAAGCCAACTGAGCTTTAACAGTAATAATTCTTTTTTTTTTTTTAATAATTTTATTTATTTATTTTTTCCCCCAAAGCCCCAGCAGATAGTTGTATGTCATAGCTGCACATCCTTCTAGTTGCTGTA